ACATACATACATACATACATACATACATATATACATGTAATGTTTATCATCAAAAAGCCTTAGAATAATGTTAATTTGACAAATCTTTATATTCTTTGACTGATACAAATCAAAGGAGCATGATAAACACTTAGATAATGAATCATCAATATATTTTTGTAATAAACATCATGTATAGAAGATTTTGTACAGTTTCAAAAATAATATCTATAAATTTGTTATACATGATAGTAGTTTATTTTCCCATATATTGTATATTAAAGAAGGTATAAGATCCAATAAAGAAACATAAAAGATAACATTTTTTTTTATGATTGAAAACATATAATACTTCATCAATCTATTTTCATTTTTTCAAATCAACATAGTTTTGAGCAAACAAAAATTAATTGAAGAAGTAGATTGTTGACAAAGAAGCAATAATTATTTCTCTCCAGAATTATCATCATAAACATTGAGGATTCACACTTTACAACTTATGTTCATTTATTTTCTTCTTTCAACTTCCTTTCAGCAATAAGGAAAAAGAATAACCAAAAAATAAATCACATTTGGATTAGATCGAAATTATAAATATGTTTCCTAGATTTTCACAAAAATTTCTTGAAAGACTTGCTCATGAGAAAATAACATTATAGATTATGGTTATTGCTGAGCTCAAACTTGTCCATGAAGAATACCAGGATCTTATTAATAAAATGAACTAAGAAAAAAGAATAAAGATAAATAAAATGACACATGAAATCATTGTAGTAGTAAGATATCATAGAGCCTTATAATGAAGGTGAAAGTTCAATAGTTGATTAAACTTTTGCAACCCTTGATGGCATTGTTATTGAAGTTAAAATAAATAAACAAAAACTTCTTTGTATGCTTGTCGAAGATGCATACATAATACACTTTACGTAACCATTAGCTCACTAAGAGTGTTTAATTCTTGTTTATCGACCAGAGATACTTATCATCTAGTTATATAACCTAAATTTTTATAGATGATGTTATTTAACTCCATAGAAAGCCAAAAGTGGTAATGAAAGACAATGACAATGATTTTATTTTTTAATTATAGCAACAAGTTTAAAATGTTATGGATACCTTTCTCAATATCAATGTGACATTACATCCTCAGATTAATGGTTAATCATAATGAGCAATATAAGCATTAAAGAACCTTCTCAAAATGATTTGTCTTGATTTTTCTAGGATATTAGGAACGCCAAATTGTTTGTGTAGTGTTCTCATATAATAAATATCATGATTACATATATTTACTTGATATGTCTTCTGAAGTTTTGTAAAAAAATATATATATATTTCCATTGAACTGGTTAGATCTTCGAGAGAAGTTGCCATTAGATTTTAATTAGTAAGCAAGTCAATTAAAAAAATCATTAAGATCTAATAGAGACATGACAATACAAAACTTTCAAAAGAATTATTATGATTTAAGAAACCATTTCTTCAAATTTATTGCAGAAGATAAAATTTTCATAAACACTAGCTTGACATAAGTAATTGAATTGTGTGGTCATGCTAACAATTAATGAAAATGATATATTTATCCTTTTGAGGTGTTCAATTGGATGTAACATTTCACTAACCAACTAAATTCTACCATAAGTATTGGGTGACACATGTAAAATTTTTTTTATGATTCCAATCCTAAAATGATTATATAATAATATACAATAAATAATGACTAATAACATTTATTATTACAAGTCAACCTCAAATATAAAAAGACACCTAATAATATCATTCTCCAACATGATATGTCATTTTGTATTAAAATCATACTATTGATTAAACTCTTATAGAAGTAGAAATGCACAATTAATATAATTCAAACAATAAATTTATAGAATTTTTTCAAGGGCCAAGAAATTTTTTACTTAAAATACTTTATATTCAATTACAATTCTAGAAGTTTAGACAAATATATGTTTAATTTCATTAGATTTATGCTTACAGAGTTAGCATGGATCATTATATAAGGTAGAATCATGGCCACCCCACTCTAAGCTAGCTCAGTTAATAAGGGTTCATCATTTGAATAGTAGGCTAACATGATCAATTTATGCGCATTTGACCAAATTTGAATGGTTCAATCTAGAAAACTGCTAAGACCTAATGAGAATATTGCGCCAAAAGATTGTACTTTGATATGTCAGCTAGAATAGATAAATAATATGAAGAAAGTGAACCATGAGGCAAAAGGATGATTGACGGAGCGAAGGAATAAGGAACCACAAGGTTCTTTCACAGGTAAAATAATAATAAAAACTTATAAGTCATAGCATACCCCAAATTAAGATTATGATCTACTTGTTTACATTTGTTTTATAACTAGAGCCGAAAAGGATTGTAACAAAAGAGACAAGTATATACTTTGTATTGGATCCAAATTTGTTGTATGCACTTCACCAAGCTAGAGCACTTGATATAATTAGGAACTGAGAAAATAGTATCATATAGTGAAAGCTACAAAATAAGTTTGGACTAATATTTTTATTAATATATCTTGTGAGTAGTTGCTTTTTTGTATTTATTCACTTGTCCATTTTTATATACATGTGACTCCTATTTATATTATGTGGTATAATAGTTATATGAATGAAATGAATGTGATAAGAATGATTCATGTGCTTTTTAATACCAAGGTTTATCTTATGACACATTACAGTCATAACGCCTTCTATAGTTTGATGTCATTTGTGATTGATTGATGAGATAAATTGATGAGTTAGCAGAATATTGGATACGTTTTGGCTAAATAGGCTTGTCATATGAAAAATACATTGTCTCATTGTTGGGCTACTTCATCTGAAATTAGTGTTGAATTGTCTCATGTTGAGTATTCATAGTAAGAACTATGGGTTTTTGGTATTTTTCTCTGTTGATTCCCGTGTGATAGTGGTTTTAGGTGAGTTAACAAATCATTGTGGTCACTAAAGTTAGAGAAGCACTTGAGACTATTAATTCCTTGAATGGATCTGACCTGTACCTACTCATAATTGGTTTAATTTGCAAGTTTGTGGGTTTGGGTCGATCTTACACAAATTGACTTGTAGGCTACCTTCTCAGGCTGATGAATTGAACTTTCTCTACTAATTTTTTATGTGCACACTTTATTGCTATAAAGATTAAACTCATAGCAACAATCCTAAGTTGGTAAACTTAAGAACAATGGCTATTAAAATTATTCTGAAATGATTATTACAAGTCTTATTAGCTTCCTCCCCTAAGGTTAATGAAACGAGCATGTCTCATAAATGTCATAGCTTTTTTAATTTTATGAACATGAAATTTTATTCGTACATCATATGTTATATTGTTAAGAACATTAAATGAAATGGCATGCATATATAATGTGTTGAGTTTGTGAAAGATTTGATGAGCTATATCATATGTTAATGGGTTTAGGGAGAGAACTTTTTTATGAAATGATTTTTTGAAACTTGAGCGTGTTTTCCTTATATGGGGGTGTTTATAAGTCCTAAGACTCAAAATCATTAGGAATCAACACCTAAAGATTGTGTAACTAAAAAAGATACTCATAGTACACAAAGAGAGACATGATTTTTTTTATGATTATTTTTATTGTATACTCCTAAAGTGAAGTACTATTACATAAATAATATTCATGATAAGCTTAGTTCTTTTTAATGTTTCATAATATTTTTTTTTAACTTCACTCAACTACTAAATAATTATTTGATATGTCAATATTGAGCGAGATGAATAAGAAGTTAACTCGACTTATGATCATTCAATAAGGCATGAATTTCAATCCTTTAAATAATATTAGAATTATAGTTAACAATTCTTATAACATCTAACAAACTAAAAATGCAATAAAATCTTTTATTTCATTGAATGTGTGATATTAACTTCTTTGAATATTAATTTTATGCCTTTATGTTTTCTTGCAATGTTTTTTGGATGCCCATTAATTCTTTCTACTTATGGGATATATATCCTACTCTCAGCTTTATGTTGTCTACTCTTAGGTGATAATCTTATGTTGACTTATATAAACAACAGACTAAAATATTTATCATGATTCTTTAACATGGGAGCTTCAAGAAGAGGTTGACTGAGCATCACAAGCCAAACATAAAGACAATCAAGTACCAATATGCCAACAAGATTATAGACATCAAGCATCTCAAACTAGCTAGTTATCTCCTTTTATAAAAGAATTGATGATCAGGCAAGGATGGAAAACTAATAACAGATTCTTTTTTTAGTGCAATATTATCAAATCACCAAATTGTGAAGAGGTATGAGGTAAGCAGGGAAGCCACTAATGTAAGCTTCATTTTGCAGTTCGGTATTTTTGAATTTCATATTGAAGAAGAGATTGCAAGGCAAGCTAGCTACAAGCAAAAAAGGAAATAAATATAAGGTGCAGCTAAAGACAGCTACCTTGTGTAAGGACATTTATGTGACCACAAATTAGAAGAGGTGATAGCATCAATAAGTCACAGAATCGTGTCACATACTTTATGATTTTTTTTCTTACATTCCAAAAAAACTTAAAATTTGCATATAGAATGAAGGTTTTTATCTAATCCCCTAAAGTTTTCATAAATCAAATTAAATATGATCTTGAGACAACTATTGAAATCAAAATGATTTTAAAAAAATTTAAAAAATAAAAAAATAAAAGCAAAAAAGGGTGGGGAAGGGATCGAGAATAAAATATAAAAGATTTAAAGTGAAAAAATTGGAGAATAGGAAAAAAACAAGAAGCCACACCACACTAAAAAATTATGAAAAGAGAAGAAATAGTATACATTACACCACACTCAAACCTATCTAGAATCCCGTAACTCAAGAAAACTTCTCTCTCTCTTTCGCACAAGATAAAACGTGAAATCCAACCACAATGAAAAACGAAGACTTAACTCCCGAATTGCAGAAATTTACTTAAAGGCGTCTTGGTGCCACCTCTAGGAGCCAAGTTTTCATATGCTCTAGTTTTGAAGCTGGAAATGTGCTTAATCGGCCGCCAGAGTGCCTGCACTGGTGCTCGAGCGCTCAACCAGGCGCTATGGTGCCCCAATTGAAGCTCCTATGCGCTGCACCCTGGCACAATCAGTCTCCACATATAACAGTAACACTTTAAATTGAGAAACTACAAAAAGCAATTGTTTCACTAGGTTGTTGGATGATGAGCTCGATCATTATTAACTTATCTAGATAGCAAAACTTTCTAAACAGTCAGGAAATTATTACCAACATGTCTGTATTTGCAGTCTGAAAAATAATATTAACAAAAATATAAGTCAAACTTACCCTGAGCCGGCTATCATATCTCCTTAAGAAACGCCAACTAACTTTTTCCTGCATATTTTTCTAGCCAGCTCGAATCAATCACATTTCAGGCTAGCTTGAGCCATATTTTTAGCGAATCAAAGGATTGAAAAACTTCTACAATAATTCTCTTAAGAAGATCACAACCTCAGTTTAGATTACTCTATCTTTAAATCAATCAAAACACAAACGAATCCGAAGTCCAGCAAAAACATCAATCCAACTAATTGACTAATACTGTTATCTGTTATTAAAGTAGAATTTCCATATATCCCACAATTCTTATATATTTACAGGTCTAACCCTCGAACTTTCATATTTACGAACTTAGCATTCAAATCTTTATTCTTAAATAAAAATTACCACTATTATTAACTTTTAAAAAAAATGAATACATCTTTTTAGTGCATATGTTATAACAGCAAAATATTATAAATATACATATTAAACTTTAGGTATTACATAAATATACACAACGTAATCCGTTATTATGTTTATAAATTTTCCTATTTATAAATAACCTTCGTCTTATTTAGTATCTAGTGACTAATACCTCTATTTCTTTATAAATTTCCTGCTTAAATGATTAATTAATCTGAAATGCTTTTATTATTTCTTTTTAAGCATGCTCCGCCGAGCAAGCCAACCCCCATAAATCAGTCATATATCTTACTAGCCACTCAACCTATTTTATTCAATTGTGCACAGCAGTTGAGAGTATAAAAGCATTAAATTCAAGTTAATGAGATCACGGCATTGCAATCAATTAAATAATCAAGCACGGCCCATCAAAAGTAAAGATAATTTAAACTTTAAAACCAAAGAACAAATGAAATTTATAATAAAAAGAATGTTACAATCACCAGATCAGCTAAACAAACCCCACGCCATAAATTAAAGGAAGCCAACAAAGACATGAAATTCAGACTGCTCGTATATAATTTTATATATAACCAAGGCCACCCAAACACCATTATATATATATATATAAATAGTGTGATATTA